ATAAAAATAAATAAATATCTAATCTTTTGCAGTAAGAAAGATTGGATTGCTCGAAAATTAAGATGAAATAATAATGTTGATTTTTGATAGTCAAAAATTATTTAATAAGAAATGTTTCAGCACTCGGTTTGTCTTATCTTTGACTTATATAAAATTCCAATGTAAAATAAGAACTTTGGCTGTGGACGATTTCAAAATAAAAGACTGTTGTTATGGAATAATTTTAAATGTGAATGTTAAATATAAAATATTAACTATAAAATTTCCTCACCATTTTCTTTATGTAATTGTATTTAAAATTTATACTTATATTTTATAGTTAAAACTTTGGTTATGTAAAGGAAAGATTATTTAAATGCTAGAAGGAAATGAAAGAAGGAAAAAGACAAAAAGAAGTTGAAAGATTATTAACATATTCACAATCAGCTATTTTCAATGCAGTTTTTTATTGTGCAGTTTAAAAAAAATGCAATAAAAAACTACAATTCCTATCAGAAACTAAGAACAAAGGCAGGAAATACAATGGACTTGCCATAACATCACACTGCAAAAACAATTGTTAGAAGTTACCAAATTTTGCCCTATGTATGCACCACCTTCCTCCATCAGATATTAGAGAATTTTATCCCAGATATGGAAAAACTCTTGGATGGCATGGATGAAGATCTTAATTAATTAATTAAATTAAGGAATTTTATTGGTAAAGATAGCTTTAACTTTAAGGGAGAACACCATCCATTCTGTCCTCGAATCCTTTTGGAGCAATGTTTTTCCTATAGAATGTGGTTTATCACCAATAGTATAGTTATTGTAAAAGCATACAAGTCCATTGACATGGTGCTAATGAAAAGGAAGACATACCATAAAGACATTAATGAAACAGTGTGCTCGTGGGCACCCTTGGGATTTCTTGACAAATTCCAGAGTGGTACACAATTCCAATTCCAGGCTCCTATATATGTTAAGTATGCACAAAGCCAGTGTACTTGCACTATCCACATCAATAATTTTCACTTTTGCTAAGATCCACAAACCAGGAACTCCTCAATCTGTGTTGTCTGCCTTGCCACAATAAGGATAGCGAGGATACTCCATAAATTCATTGCCAGTAATATGGACACTATCATCATATTGTAATAGACTTAAAGGATTTAGTGGAGTGCCTAAGTAATGTACTGTACTTATTGTTAACCAAGAAAACATCAAGTCATGCAACTTTAAGTCTTTCTACCCTTCTATCCAACCCTGCTTTTGCAAAGTTATAAAGTTTGCTATGCAACTTCCTTCCTCTTTGAATACTTCCATAATCCAGAAAAACATTATAATTTTATTCTTGAAATTTCATATCTCATATGCTATTTTTCCTTATGATTTTGAAAGGGTGTCTTACCTACATGATAGGTATGCATACAGACAGCCCCATATCAGGGATTCTTTGCAAACTTGTCATTCAGAAGATAGAGGAAGAGGTTCTATTGTCCTACATCAAACAAGTGGTCTTAAAGACAAGGTATGGAGACAATGTATTCATAATCTGGTATCAGAAACCAAACATGCTGTAGTTTCTAAGAAGCATCAACAACTCATATACTCTCTACCTATGTGTAGATTAAGATACAGTGGTACCTCAGGATACGAACACCCCAGCATATGAAATTTTTAGGATACGACATGAAATTCGAACATATTTTTGCTCCATGATATGAACAAAAATTCACCATACGACATTACATTAGTTGGCAGCGCCATTTTTTATTCACTTCTGTTCATTGGTCTCAGTCCGTGTGTTTGCTTTGTCGTGGAAGGATCTCGCTCGATAAAGGAAATCTTGAGGTATTATCAGAAAGTGACTGATTTTATTAAAAAGAAACATCCCGAAAAGGTTTGGCTGTATTGCTGCTCGGAGTAACGACATTTGCCTAAGTCATTTTAGAAACATTTTAAAAAGTAGGCAAAGCCAAACTTCTTTACCAAGCGACTTCTATCCAGTGAAAGTGCTGGTGAAAGTGAAGGAAAAAAAGCAAAAAGCAGTAAATAAAAATTAAAACAACACTAATTTTTTTAATCTTTTCTAAGTTATTTTTAAGTTATTGTTACTATTATGTTATGTAAGTTAAGTTTTAGTATCATTTCCCTTCTCCCTCTCCTCCACTACCGGTTTACACCTCCACCATCGTCTATCCTCAAAAGTAAAGTGCAAATAAAACTACATTTATTTAATCAATTATTATTCTATTATGGTTATTTATGCATTTACAACTACAAAACACATTTTTCAGTGTTTTCCTTACTACAGTTATTATTATTTTTTTAATGTACTACTTAGCTTTAATTTGAGTGTGTTTTTCGTGTTGGAACGAATTATTTGGTTTTACATGTAATCGTATGGGGAAAAATGATTCATCTTACGACATTTTCATGATACGACCTCAGTTTCAGAACGGATTAATTTCGTATCCTGAGGTACTACTGTAGTCTCCAAATAGCCATTTCTTAAATGTTCACTTCACATTACAGAATGTCCAGATTTCCCATCAAGTCTATAGAAAACCAACATCCAATCTTTGCAGCATTAGTAAGAACAATCATATACTCCTCCAATATTCTGGACACATTAAAGGAATTTGAATCCATTAAACAAATTGTTAATACCATTAATGGTAATATTAATTAGAAGGTATGAGACCACTATCTTCCATGTATGAAAGAATAACAATTTGGTATATAAAGCCATTAAATACTACCAAATTTTAGCTAAAGTATATAAGGAGATAGCTACCACCAACTCAACCACTTCAAGATTGGTTATAGAAGGAATCCCACTATATATATATATATAGTGGCTATATATAGAGACTATATATATATATATATATATAGTCTCTTTAGGAATGAAAAAAGCCTCCTGACAGGAAACTCCTCTCTGAAGATTTGTCCCAGATGTGTAATTGTGAGATGTATGATTTTAGTAATGGATTGTGTGACACAATAAAATCTGTATGAACAAAATTTTATTCAAAATAACAACTGAATCTTTATAAGAAACTAACACATAACCCAAGATATCAGCTGAGGAACATACTACAGTGGTACCTCAGGATACGAAATTAATCCGTTCCGAAACTGAGATCGTATTATGAAAATGTCGTAAGGTGGATCATCTTTTCCCATACGATTACATGTAAAACCAAATAATTCGTTCCAACGCGAAAAACATACTCAAATTAAAGCCAAGTAATACATTTAAAAAAATAGCTGTAGTAAGAAAAACAAATGAAAAATGCGAACAAATGTAACGTCGTATGGTGAGTTTTTGTTCGTATCGTGGAGCAAAAATATGTTCGAATTTCATGTCGTATCCTGAAAATTTTGTATGCTGGGGCGTTCGTAACCTGAGGTACCACTGTATCAACAAACACTCAAGAGAGATACAACAAAAATAAACAACTCTTAAAAACGTGTACAAAATATTCTAAAACCGAAAGCTTAATCACTGTGAGGACAAGAAAAGTGGACTAAATAATTAAACCTAGTAATTAAATATTAATTCTAACATGCAAGAAGATTTTGACTGATAGAGGGTAAAATTTAGGGATAGAAAGATAAGTGAAAAATAATAAAGGATTATCCAAGTCTTTTATTGGATCAAGTCCTTTACAAACAAAAAAAATGGAAGCACATGTTCTGGAACATTTTCTTCATCCCTTTGAGGTTCCTTTTCTCATTTTAAGCTGACCACAAACCAGTCAGACTGGTTCTTACATGGACAAAAAAGAGCTCTACCCCAGAATTGGAGCCGATCCCCCATCAGCAAAGAAGGAAGACAGCTTTAAGATAGTAAGAGGAAACGAAAAAAAAAATAATATGGGAAAAGAAAATTTAATGTTAGCAAATATAAATTATGGAATACAGCCACACAGTATCCACAGGAAGTATCCCATCAAGGATTGCAGATTTAACAAAGATTGGGAGTATATTGACATTACTGCATGCTCCCTCAAGTTGAGAATTAAAGAGCATGCCACAATCATAACAAAAAGACACCTACAATTTTTCTCACAAACATTGCCAGGGACTGCCCTGGCAACATTGTGAAAGAAAATGACATCCATATTAATCTAGATGAGGACAAAATCTCTATGTGACATCATTAACTTGAAACACCTAAAGAGATTTGAAATTTACAAAGCTTTCATGAAGTCCAAAGATATCAACTAAAAGATTTTGAGTCCATCTCAAATGCTGGAAAAATTTCCATAAATATTTTAGTGTCAGAAAACTCTACCCCTTCCACCATGTGTAGACATTTTACCCACTGTAATTATCATGATGTGTGCATCTATAGGTGCACATTTGTATTTCTTTGCTTGTAAATGATGCATCTATAAATTTTTAACACATGACATTTGTAACCAACTGTTTTTGTATTCCTTTATGTTTAGGTGAGCTCCATTTTTGTTTGTATGTTTGAAATTGTTGAATAAACTCAGTGATAACTGTTTAACATAATCAAAAACATTAGATTTTTTCATTAAATTCTTGCCTTGTTGGAGTTTTAAAGCTGTTTGTATGTTAATTAAAGGCTTTACATTCTTTGAACTGATTTATTGGAGTTTTCCATGTAAAAAAGTTCAAAAGGCATTAAAACTTTTTCATGTTGCTAAAAAAGTTGTTCAAAATTTTAAAAATAATCACTAACCTCTTTCTTTGTTGGATAAAACAGAAGTTAGTGATTATTCTTAAATTCAAATTAGAGTTCAATTTAATGTTGCAATATGAAAAGTCAGTATGAATTTTGTATTGCAGTTAGAGATTACGGTTATTTCTTCAAGATTAATTTTTATAGTTGTTATTTACTTGTTTTTGCATAATTATATAGCAATAATATTAAAGAGCAATTAAATTGTTATATTTGAGTTTATTTTTCATGTAGATAGTTCTTGAATTGAAACAGTTTTATAACACTGTGCTTTACAACATTAAATCTAATATTAGTTTTTGAACTAAGCATGCTTATTTTATATTGTAATGGTCTTTAAAATAAATGTACTAAAAATGAAAATAAAATTCACCAACCTTAAGTAGGCCTTGCACTGTAGTGAGCTTTCTATTATGAACATTTTTGGTTGACTTCTAAGACTTCAGATAGATTTTTTTCAAAATTGCTACTACCAGAAAAGTAGTAGCAATTTTGAAAAAAATCTACCTGAAGATCTTAGAAGTAGAGTTACTGTACGTATTCTGTTACATACAATAACTCTAGATAAGCATATATAAGTTTAATAAATAAGCGTAATTTATAGTTGCATATAATTACTTGGTCCATGTAACATTATCGATAATTTTGTTCTTCAATGAGAAAAAGGTTGAACACTGTGTTACGCAATATTTATACATTTTCACCAAAATTAAAAATACTTTAGTTAGCATTTTTGTGTTTGTGTTTTTTTTAGCCTTACTGCTTATTTCTTGAGTTTTGTAGAAAGAGTGAAAGACAACTGAATAAAATATAAAAAAATATTTTATAATTTTAAAATAATGAAATAATTTTCATTATGGATAAAATTTATTCTTAAAATTTCTTAAAATCATTCTTAAGAAAGTATAAATGTATATTTGGAATTGTTGAAGCAAAAAATAGTAAAAGTTAACTTCTTATCAAGATAATTACATTATTATATTGTTACAAGAGAATTTTTTTTGGAATTCATATTTAAATGTAATGACAATTTGTCATTTTCATTAAGGAATTCAAATTAAAATCTAATATAAATATTCATTTTAAAATAGCAAGGACTCAAAACACAATCCAAAAGAAAAGAAACAGAAAAAAAAGAATATACTGTAGTTGTCAGATGTAAAATTCACTGAGATATTATTTGTTATTTAGACAACAATAATACGTTAATAATAAATTTTCTTAAATCTTAAATGCCATTTTTTTATATTAAAAAGTATATTAATATAAAAAATGAGAGAGGAATATGATTAGAATTGAAGCTAATGACATTTGCAATCTTTTAGAGCTTTGATTGCAGCAAAAAATAAATAAAAGTAAATGGGTAGAAAGCACTCTGCAAAGTTTACTGGATTAATTAAAAACACTGATGAGATAATTGAAATTGAGTAAAAAGCATTGATAAAATAATTAAACTGTATATTAAATAAAATGCATATGGAGGTATTTAATGTAAAAGTTATTCTATTCTATTCTATATTTTTTATTTTCTGCATTTTATTTATTATTATAATTTACATATCCTACAAGTTTAATTGAAGTAGAAAAATATTTATTGCATTTTTAAATTTGGAGTATATATATCTGTTAAGATTAATCTGCAATAAATTTTTATCTGTTGTAAGATGAGAAATAAAAATAGTGTATAATTTCTTTTAATTTTTTTACATAATTAAAAATATTTACAAATATTTTATAAAATCTAATTTAAAATTAAAATTATAACACAATAAATAATTATTGATTTTTTATAACTATTAATGCTAATGTTTTCATATATTTCTAAATAATAATTTAGAAAAATATGAATTTGTAAGTAATAATTAATAATTTGTTCATAAATGACTAAGATTTGTTTTGAATTTTCAGTGTTACTCATTAGAAAAATTGATGTTTTAATATGATTTGTGCTTTTGATTTTCTTTATAGACAATTTTGAAAAGTTTATTTTAATAATTTTTAGTTTATAATTTTGTTTTTTAGAGTCATCCTAGTATTAGAGTAAAAGGAACAGAAAATGAATTTGATCCTGTTGATTGTAATGATATTCAATGTTCTATCAAATCTTTTCATATGCATTGCCCTTTCTGTGTTAAAACAGAATCGTATCAAGATTCACGTATTTTGAAAGCTCACTATCATGTTAAACATGTTGATAAGGGAATAGAATTTGGTGGTAATATAATCTTTTCTGTTTTTATTTTTTAAAGTTTCTTAAATTGATGTTCAGTCTTATTTTATTATTTTAAATTTTTCCGTAGGACTAAAGATTCTTCGTTGCTGTGAAAGATGTGATATTGTTGGAGCAATTAAGGAAGAAAAAAAATTTAAAGGAGCTCATTGGCATTGTTTTATATGTAAAAATGGATTTAATCGTAGAGATGAAGCTATAAAACATTATAAAACTCATTTTCGTCACCCTTGTACTACTCTGCAGATACATGTTCCACAGGTAAAATTTAAAATTATTTTTCATTTACATTTCATATTTATTAGAATGGCTACTTGTTGGTTAAATATAAATATGTGTTTAGAGCTACACATATTTAACAAAGATCTTTCCAAATAAGCTTTAAAATATATACAGTATATTCTTGATTATCTGGATTAATCATTGGTAATGAGGGCAAGAATAATGTGGAAACACAGATAATTCACAAGTCTGTTTTAATGAAAGCTAATTGATTTTTTTCTATTTAGTTTTTAATTTCATATTAAATTTAACATAATAGTTTATATTTATTATGAATAAAATATGTTTGAGAGAGATAATTAATTAATTAATGAGCTTTAGATATGATCAGAGTTGAATAAGACAGAAACATAAGACAAACAGAAAATTCAGAAAAATTTATTAAACTAGTGTCTTGCAGTTCACTATCAATTTCTTGTATTATTAACCAAGAATGACAAGTTTCCAGCTGGATATCATTGTAAAACATCATTAATTTTGCAATATTAATGATTTGTGATAAGGATATAATTTAAAATATTTTTTCAAACAATTTTACAACTTACTTAATGAAAAAAGAAAAAAAATACAATAGACACATAAGTAAAGCCATATTGTTCAAAAATCAATTGCACTTGTATTTGTTAGGCCATTTAATTTATGCCTTGATGTTCTGGAAGTTGTTCTGATGCTCAATATACCATTTTAAATAGCAAGAGTTAACAATGAATATTTTTTTATTTTAATTCTAATATTTATATTCTTGACATAAATTTTTATTGATTTATGTCAAGAATTTTTATGGATAGTCTGCAGTCCAAATAATCCACACATGAATAATTGAGAGCATACTGTATATAAAAAAGATCTTTTTTAATCACTTTTTTGAAACTGCTCATGTTTTCTGAAAATAAAATATATTCTTAGAAACATTATATCAATAAGAATTCTGACTTTTTTAAACTAATATTTAATACTATCTAAATTAAGGAATAGAAAATTGTCAAAGTGTTTTATAATGCAGATATTTATTGAAATTCATTGAAAATATATTTGACAGCTATATAAAATACAGAAGAAACTTCCTTTCTCTCCTGTCCAATCAGCAAGAACTAAAACAGTCTTTCTTCACAGAGATGACATTTTATTAGAGGTATAGCCTCTAATAAAAGGTTTTTGATTGAAATTATGTATGTATTTTTACAGTTTTTGGCTTATCATCAGTGAATTTTTTAAAAACTGTTTTACATAATATTGCAGAGGTATAACCTCTAACAAAAAATTATCTTTGTGAAGGAAGACTGTTTTAATTCCTGATGATTGGGTGGAAAGGACTTCTGTATTTTATCTACTGTAAATATACTATCTGCAATAAACAACTACTTTACCAGAAAACTGGAACTGTACTGTACTGTACATGTAGAAAATCACACCTAAATGCAAAATTTCAAGCAAATAACTACTCAGGTTCAATATTCAAATGTTTTCGGCCACTACTTCATCGGCCAACTTCCTGAAGAGGGCTGATGAAGTAGTGGCTGAAAATAGAAACATTAATACAGCAAATAAAAAAAGGAAACATTAATACGGCTCTGGCACGTTATGCCAGCAATCCAGGGATTTCCCCATTGGGACCAAGCTACCCTAATACACAGGGTCTTCAACCAGCAAAGCATTAGAGCATTAGATATCTACAGGGCAGACAGGAGAAGAGCCTGCATCAACACTTGATGCCATTCATGTATCAAATGCATGGAAATACTATTTAGACTCATAAAGTATACATCATATATATGATACATCACAGCCTTTATTCAAACTTATTTAAAACTTTTAAAATTAGAACGTGGCTACATTCTATATATAGAATGATTTTTCCATTTTACACTTCCTGAAGAGGGCCAATGAAGTAGTGGCCAAAAATGTTCGAATATTGAACCTGAGTAGTTATTTGCTGGAAATTTTGCATTTAGGTGTGATTTTCTACATATACTATCTGCCTTTTTAATTGAAATATTTGAAAGATATTCATTTTCCATTTACCTGATAAGAATTCATTTGTTTATAAATTTGCTTTGAATTATTAAAATAATATGAAGTTATTGTTTTATTTTAAGATAATGTAATTATCAGTAATATAATTTTTCAATGAATTTGTTTGTATATAACATCATGAAATTTTCTTTTTTAAATATACGATTGATTATAACTAGAAACAATTCATTAATAAATAATATTGTTCAAAAGTATAAATCTGATTTATACATAATTACTAATTGATAATTAGGATTTATGTAGGATTTACATATGGAGTGCAGTTTCTTTTAATTAAGGAAAAAAATCAACCATTCAATTACTATGTGAACAAACTATTCATTGATTCAAATTAAACTTTTCATATTTTTAATAAAGCATGTTCTATTTAACTTTAAGGAAGTAAATAAAGCAATGGCATTAGAAGACAAAAAAGGATTTAAAAGAGATGAAACAAAATCTGCTGCAATTCATATAGTTTCTGAGGCAGTAATTACCAGTACAACACCTTTTCTAACATCAGGAGCAGGAGGTAAACATCACAAAATTTTAAATGTTTTATCTTTTAAAATATAATAAACTTATTAAGGTGAATCATAAGTATTTACATACCCTAATTTGATTTAATTTTAATTTATTAATTTGAACAAAAATATGTGCAAAAATAATCCAATGAATATATTAGATATTAAAGTATGTTAACATTTGATTTTTGTTTATATTTTAAATAATAATACTCCAGAGTTATTAAAAGATAATTGACATGACATTTGAAGTATTTTAAGAGACTTACTAAATGTACTTCAGCATTTGGTTGATAGTTGCCTTTGATAGTTTATCAAATATTTTGAATCCAAATGTATTGAAAGATAGTTTTGAATTGCTGTCTTGTTTGCTGTTGTGTTACAAATGTATTGAAATGAAAATATCTATAACAGTATGCTAAGTTTCAATTTTGATAAGTGTTACCATTGCAATTATCAAAATAATATGATTCTAATAAGAACAATTATAAAAATTGAAGACTAAATACAGAAAGCATTTTGAAGTCTTCTACATATCCATTCAAAACTGTCAGAACACATCAGTGGAGTAACCTTTCTTTTTAGGCTCTTTTCTATCTACACATATGCAAATTTTTTAAAAGTTCTTCTGACTTCAAATCCTTGTAACATTTTTTTTTTTACAAAAATTGAAAGACCCAAGAAGAAATGTATTAGAACAATTATAAAAAGTCTACAACAGGTGAAGAAATGTAGCAAAGAAGAGCATATAAAGTAAAGTCAGCTTTGCTAATCACATGTGTATTCACAACCGTCAGAATGTTAATTCTGATGGCTGTGAATATACATATAGAAGACTTCAAAAAGTTTTTGTATTTAGAATTCCATTAAGTAGTTTGTCAATGGTGCTTAAGTCACAAATTGGTATATTTTATGTTAATGGCATGTTTGTAGTACAAATATGTAGTTTGTTATGTAGATAAGGAAGGTGTAAATCCAATGCCTGAAAATGGCACAGCAATGATATGAGATTATGATCTGTATTCTATGCTTTGCTTTTATTCTATTTCTTTAATCTGATATATAACTGGTCAAAACACCTTAATTTTTTAGGAATTATCACATCCACAGATGCTGTTATTATTAGCAATTTGATAACTTTATTTTACCCAGATGCATTTCAGAAATTACAATATTTTCCTCCTCTGGCTTTTCTTCCATAGTAGCTAAACAAGGTAAAAACACTTATGAAAGTAGTTAAATGCTGGAACATTGAAAATTGGAAGTGTATTGGAAAAGTGTTGGTGCATTGTTTAGCTAGGATGGAATAAAACCCACCAATAAGGAAAATATTGTAAATTCTGAAATGCATCTGGGTAAAATAAAGTTGTTGATTGGCTAGTAATTACAGTATCTGTGTATGTGATAATTTCTAGAAAATTAACTTGTTTTGACTGGTTACATTTAATTTGCAAAAGGAATTTAGTCCAGGACTAAAGCCCATTGGCAAATAGAATATCTCAAAACTGTGTCATTGTGACTTCAGTACTTTTTGGCAAATCACTGATTCAATTTTGTGATTGAGTCTTCAGTTTTTATAATTGTTCTAATACATTTTGTCCTAGATCTTTTAATTTTTATTTATTTTAATTGTTAAATTGAATTTTATTTGATTGACACAATTACTTTTTATATACAAATAATATCTGACTGGTTGTAAATATAATCTAATCCAAAGAAAGCTAATACATAATACAAATTAATGGAAAAATTTACTTCTTGTTTGTAAATTTGTTATTCTTTACCTATAATATGTTTTTTAATTACATCTAATATAATTAATTAGTTAACTGATATATTAATTTTAAATTTAATTTTCATTTAACTCCTATTTGTTCAATTTGTATTTTTCAATCCATTTAATAAATATATTAAATATATATTAAAATATGAAAAGTTTATATGTTTTTTAATTTGCTGTAAATAGATTTACTTAATAAAGTATTAATTGTCACCAATTAATTAAAAGTCACCAAAAACTAATTTCTAATTTATTATTATTATTATTTTTTTTTTTAAAGTTTTCGACTAGTTACATTTATAATCATTTGAAAAAATCACATTTATAAATGTATATATATACTTAACCATTTTATTTATATATATATAATATACCTAGCCATTTTATTTGGCCGCGTTTCTTTATGCAGCGCTCGAGAAGCACTTTACAGCGAACACACTGAAACTGGTTTTTAATTGGCCAACACTGCTCATGACGTCATTTTGCTACACTCTTCCTGCATAAAGAAATGTGGTCTTTGTATGAATAATACCTTATCTACATTGGCCACCTTATCTACTTCACTGGGGGCTCTGGTTTGAATCCAGGTTGGGAACTTCAGGAATTTCTTGTGGGCTCATGAAGCAAAATGAATATGCCAGGCCCTGGCTAAACCCACAATGAACATAGATAAAAATCTCTTGTAGTGTTTCAAAGCAAAATGTGCAAAAAAAGGACATTTTTAGAGGATAAATTCAATAAATTTTCTTTTTAAAAAATTATTTTTATTAAAGACAAGTTTAAGAACTAAAAGAAGGTTTTAAAAGTTACATGCATTTTTTATTGTTGGTTAACTTAATACAAATGGAAACAAGAACAAAATTATAAAAATTATCAAATAATTTTATGTAAAGTTCATTTACCATTAATTTTGGATATATTGTGGTATTGAGCATAAAATGATTGTCAAAGATATTGTTCATAGAAAGTCAATAAAAAGTTCAAAAATTTTGAATTAGCATATTCATTCTATCTACAAAATATTGATATAACACTGAAATACCAATATTACATTCTGAATTCCTTACCTGTGGTCATGATTCCCAAGGTTGGGTCAGTGGCTTTGTGTTTTCTGGGGGTTGCTGTAGTTATTTTTAGTTAAATAATTTTTGTAGGAAATTTCACCGAGAAGGTAATTTTTTTTTAATGATATCCAAATATCATCAAGTTTGCTTTTTGAGTTTTGTTTTATTTGTCTACATATCTCTAAAAACAAAAGTGGATTGTCAATTATTTTTCATATCAAACCAAAGGCAAAAATAGACTGAATGCCAAGAATAACAATAGCTTGGCTTTAACAAACACTCAGTTGTAAATTTTGAAGTTAGTTACCCTATGCAAGCCCATTGCATTAAATATTACATTCAAATTATATTCTGAAAAATTATTTTTAATGTGTTTTCTTTACTCTACTGAAAATGCCTTTTTTATGCAAATAAAGCAGGGGGTTTTGCAAGTCATTTGGCTATTATAAAAGGGGTTTTATCCTAAAAAGAAGGGAAATCTACATCTACTAAAATGAAATAATAATTAATTAAACAAATATGAATAAAATTATAAAGTAAACTAGCTGTTACCTGTGGCTTCACCCGTGTGGAATTTGCAATTTGATAGAAATAACCCTCCCTTGATACTTCACTAAGTATCTTCACTAAGATTCTCAACAGTAGTTGTTACTATAAAAACAAAAAATCACATCTAAAATAGTACAGTAGAAGACGTTCTTCATGTTAAGCCTTCATCCTCTCCCTCTCTCCCCACATGGGAATTTTGAAAAATCTTTTCTTAGTGTGAGTTTTCATGATGTACCAAATTTCACCTCTTTAGGTTCAGCAGTTTGCTCTGGGCAATGATGAATCACTCAGGACATGTAATTTTATATATCACAAGTTCTTGCGCTGCGTATCTCACCGACCACATGACTGTGCTGCATGGTTACCTATCTCGTATACATACGCATCTTGCCCCTCGCGACCCGCTGACACCAAAAATATAATGCTTACCTAGATGACATCTTTTGATTTATATGAATGTTTAACGGAATAATGTACAGCCTATGTCCACCCTGAAGGTCCATTCTAAATATTGGTATCCGAAACTACTCATCCGATTTTTGAAATTGGATGAGTAGTTTTGGAGATTACCTCCTACATCCAAACTTACAAACTTTATCTCTTTATAATATTAGTATGGATGATGATTATTACAAAAAATGAGATAGGGTTTACTGAAAAATATTGATGTTTAATATCAAAAATATAATAATATTGATATTTGTATATATATTATATATGAGATAGGCACACAACAATTCAGACAACTAAATAGCAATGGCAGACTTTTTCATTAAACATATACAGAAATTTTCCAAAAAAACAACCTCTGCTAAGACTAACAAGTTTTGTCTTATGTAGTCTGTTTATACCAGGAGACAAAGAAGTGTTTTGAATCGATCTTTGTCTCCAAATTAAAACAGACTACAACTTTGGTTATTAGTCTTAGTGGAGGTTATTCTTTGGAAAATTTCTGTACATGTTACGTGAGATAGGGTTTACTTAAAAATATTAATATTGGTAACAATACTTTTCAATAGACCCTATCTCATTTTTGTAATAATCATCGTTTACTTTATAATTTGATTCATATTTGTTTAATTAATTATTATTTTATTTTAGTAGATGTAGTACATTCAATTATGATTTCAATTTCTAAGTATTCATGAAAGTGATAAATTTGTATCAACATTAAAGTTCATAGTTAATATCTATTCTTGATTATAAAGTTAAATTTATGATTGTTTTGTGTTGTGAAATATTTTAAATTTGATTTATATTAAGAAAGAATTAACATAAAAAAATGTGAAACTATTTAAATAGGAATAAAAAAATGTTCTTCTTTTAAATAAACATTAACAATGTGAATTTTAAAACTATGGAATGAACAAATTTTGAAAACTTTTTGATTAATTGATTGTTCAAATTCTGCAAAGATTTAAAAAAAATTTATCTTTGAAAAAATTTCAGTTATCTCACAAAATTAAAAATGTTAGAGTGAAAATAATAATTTAAATGGAATAATCTATTTCAGTATATTTACATGATAATTTATTAGTTTCAGCAGTTATTCTAAAAAACAATGAAGATACCAAAGAGATTTTTCAAGATAAAGAAGATCAAGGTACATCTATTACCACAACATCAGAAAATGTATCTACTGATAATCAAGCAGCTATTGTGATAATTCAAGAAGATCAGTTAGCTGGATCATCTGGTTCAAATACATCCATTAGTCAACCTATAAATACCATTGAAGTAAGAAAATTATTTATAATTTAAGTGTAATAAATATGCTAATGTATTTAAGCTTTATTCAAATTTTGATATAAATTAGGATCAAGAAATGGAAAGTAAGTGGCAACTTGGAAAATTAGTTACTCATTTACAAGATCAACTAGATCAGTTAAGAGCTGACAAAGACAAGATGGAAAAATCTTTAAAATCTGAAGTTGAACAGTTGAAAGCTCAAGTATATTGATTTTGTTTTCTTTATTAATAAATGATTAATGAATGAATTAGTAATATATTATTTATAAATATATATAGGTACAAAAACAAACAACTGAACTTGATTTTCTCAGAAAGAAAAAAGAAGAAATACAAGTTAATATTCTATCAAATTCAAGATTACAACAGATGGTATCTAACTTACAGAAGCAACATACTGAAATGTTACATCAGCATATACAGCAAGTGAAACAAGAAATTTATCAGTCTGCTTTAAAAGAATTTCAGGTAGCTTAATTATTTAGAAAGTCATTTGATTATTAAATAAAATTAATTGCTGCAATAAAAAATTTTTTCAATGCAATATCAAGCAATGTGTTTCTTATTTTTTATGATTGTTTATAATGTTTCAAGTTCAATTATTGTTTCAGTTTCAATTATAAATATTTCTGTTATTGAAATAATAATTGAAGTAATAACTGTTGCATTAGCTGTTATTGAAATAATAATTGCTTAACATTTGGGACACTGTATTAATTTATACAGTGTGCCAAAATTCATAATACATGGAAAATTTAACTTATTAAATATATTGTCTCTCTCTACATGTTAATCATTTTTGTCTAAATACACATTTGTATCGCTCCCACTCAAACTGAGCATATATTAATATATTAGATGTTATTCGCCTAATTGAACTTTGAATGTGTTCCTTTAGGTAATCCATATTTTGAATCTTTTCTTGGTACACCAAAGTCTTCAAGTGTTCTGCAGGTAAAAATTGAGAGGGTTAAGATCTGGGGATTTCAGGGGCCATTTCAAGGAACAACAATGACAAATCCATGAACCTGGAAATTGATGATGCAATTTTCTACAGATTTATACTTATACAGCTACTTTAGACAAATTTAAAATAGCATATAAACTCTTGGATATAAAAGTATGAAACTGATAATGTGGCTTTCATATTATGAGAGAAATAATCAATAAATATCAAAAAATTACATTTGCTATAATTTTTATAATGAAGTATAGTTATCAAACACTGCTTCTTTACTGTAAATGATAAGGTGAAGCTGTTTTAACTTTTGCTGTTCTGTTAACAAAACTTGGACTTAAACCAATACCACTTTCAAATCTAATATGCACCCAATTTTTGAGATGTCAAAATCTGAAAAAATATTAGCTTTTGAATGTGATTATTGCTGTACATCACCAGACATGCAGCTGTAGAAAATAAATGTATTCAAGCAGCAATAAATGCATTTTTGAAAACTATTTTATTGTTTCATTTGTAGTGACTATATGATGATCGCATTTCCAAATATATTCATCTATGACTCCATTAACAGGTATGGGATCTGAAGACTAACAAAATCAATATTCCCATACAATCAATGTTTTAACAGTGAGATTTCATGTCAGTATGCACAAACATGATAGTTACCAGATAGGTAGTATCACACTGATATATCAAGCTTCAGCATATATCAGTGTTCTTCAGCATAGCAGCTAGCTTTCTGCATAAACTTACCTTTAATGAGACCTGCTGTACATCATTCACTCAGCTTGTTATAGTTCCAAAAAACCACCAAACCATTCCAAAACCAAATTGAAAGTAAATTAAAACTGGAGTAGTGAGAGTCTATACCAACAATGAAATACATGCAAAATGCCAACTGAAGTGAGATGCAAACAAGACTGCATTAAGTCAACTTTATACCTGATTCTAATGTATATGAATATAAGCTATACACTCAAATTAGAATGTATAGCTTATCTTAAAATACCGTATTTACTCAAATATAAGATGATCTCGCATATAGGATGAGGTGTGGCTTTAAAGATCAAAATAAAGAAAATTAGATTTATTAATACAATTCTAATTTTATTTAGTTTAATTTCGTTTAAAATATCAAATGAACGTAAATGCACACATTGTCTTGCAAAAATTACTGACATTTTAAACTTTAAGGAAAAATCTTGTAAAATCAACAACATAATTTGTTCATGTAAAGCTGGACAATCGGGAACCTTTTTTACCAATTTTTAACAGTCAGATTCACTCTTCGTCAATTACACTTATGAGTTTCTTGAAATTCTGATTTCCAAATAATCATCTGTTTTCACGTGGGAATGAATTAAAACTTATATTGGGCTCCCATGTAATTTTGGAAAATTCAATTCAAAAGCTTTGCTTACTCAAATGACCCAGATAAAATACTTTTGTTTTTAAACACCAGAAGGTGAGAATCTGGTGAAAAATGTGAATACACAATTTACAAAAATTATACAGAAATGAAAAGAATCCTTTGCTTGCGTGTATAGGACAACCTAGGTTTTTGAAGCAGTGAAAAATGGATAAAAACCTTGTCTTATATGCAAGTAAATATGGTATTAGTCTTAAGCTAATTCAATAATGTACTAGTAATGTTAAACTGAGATCATAATACATTTTCATATATCTTTTGCTTTGGTCTTTAGAATTATTCCATTTTAATTGTAAAATAAAATTATTCAAAAATCATACTTATTTATAAGTATAATTTTTGAATAAGCAAAATAATACCAGATTTTTTAAAATTATATTTAAAAATCTGGCAATATTTGGCTTTTGTTTAGCATTAAGATTTGGACTTTGATTTCTGTAAATTTGTACTTTTATCATTTAAATATATTTTTTATTCTAAATAATTCTTTAAACAATATTCTTGATTATATTCTTTAACAAATTTTAATATAGATAATTTTTTATATAGGGCATTTCATCTTCAAGCAGTACTCGAAATATTTCCAACTCTACCTTATCATCTAATGATCAAACAGTTCTTGCATTGTTTCTAGATAATACAACAGGAATTGTATCACAAACACTTCCTGTTTCACTATCATCAACTTCACAGACTCCAACATTATCTCAGTCTCCTGTTACAGATAATCAAGTTATGCCTATTTCTATTCCATTATCTTTGCAGTCAACATATTTATCAGATAACTTAACTATGTCAAGTTTAACTACAACACAGTCTAATTCCAGTAGTCAGCCATGTCTCACTTCAACAAATTCTTCAATTTTAGATAATAATGACTGTCCAGTTGTGGTTAATAGTTCAGCTAATGTTCGATCATCAAAACAGAATAATAACTCACCATTATATAATCCTAGTCTTCCCACTGTTCAACAGTTAATATGTGGCATTGCAATAAATAATGGAAAAACTGAACAAGCTTCTAGTGATAAGCTTTTAATAGCTATACCTTCTAACTTATTATCAACTCCAGTATCCTCAAGTACAAGCAGACAGAATACAAACATTTCTGCAAATCAGAATACACTCACATCTATTGATTCAGCAATGATACCAACAGAAACAAATGGTTCAACTCCAAATTCATTTGTCACATGCAACAGTTCATTTACAACTTGTCCAATGACATTTTGTTCAGAAGCAACCAATTTCAATAATACATCTTATATCATTACTGAAGGCAATAAATCATGTGCATTACAGATGCCAGCAAATGGAAATCTTTCATACTCTGAACTTATTTCTTCACAGATTACTGAAAAGAGAAAAATGAGTTCATGTAGTGGAATGGGAATAGATAAAAGAAGAAAATAAATAGGTATAAATTTAATATAAAATTTATTTATTAGTGTTGATGGTATAAGAAATTATAGAATATCTTCCATAAAATATTTTCCATTGCATTTAGACTAGCTTTCTTCTAACACTTTTATGAATATTGTAGATTTGTGATTTTACAGTAAAATGCAAATTGTTATTAGTGATTCACATTTTGAGTGGTCATAATTTTTGAAAAACAAAAAAAAATCACTTTACACATTTAGGATTTTCACAATCTTTATGTATTTCGATTTTTAAGGAATCTTAAACTTTCCAACATAGCCTTGTGTGTATTGATGTTTCATTATTTAAGATAACTTTTATTACTACAGTAGAACCTCGAAAACTCGGCCTAATGTGGACCGAAGGGTGGCCGAGTTTGTGAAAATGCCGGGTTATCGGGAATGGGGTTAAAAAAGGATAAGTATGCGTTTTTCCTCAGAAAATACTGTACTGTACTTGTATGTATTGTTTACTTGAGAATATAACAGAGAATAAACTGCCCAAATACCCTTAAACAAAGGAAAAGCANACCTCAGGATACGAAATTAATCCGTTCCGAAACTGAGATCGTATCATGAAAATGTCGTAAGGTGGATCATCTTTTCCCATACGATTACATGTAAAACCAAATAATTCGTTCCAACGCGAAAAACATACTCAAATTAAAGCCAAGTAATACATTTAAAAAAATAGCTGTAGTAAGAAAAACAAATGAAAAATGCGAACAAATGTAACGTCGTATGGTGAGTTTTTGTTCGTATCGTGGAGCAAAAATATGTTCGAATTTCATGTCGTATCCTGAAAATTTTGTATGCTGGGGCGTTCGTAACCTGAGGTACCACTGTATCAACAAACACTCAAGAGAGATACAACAAAAATAAACAACTCTTAAAAACGTGTACAAAATATTCTAAAACCGAAAGCTTAATCACTGTGAGGACAAGAAAAGTGGACTAAATAATTAAACCTAGTAATTAAATATTAATTCTAACATGCAAGAAGATTTTGACTGATAGAGGGTAAAATTTAGGGATAGAAAGATAAGTGAAAAATAATAAAGGATTATCCAAGTCTTTTATTGGATCAAGTCCTTTACAAACAAAAAAAATGGAAGCACATGTTCTGGAACATTTTCTTCATCCCTTTGAGGTTCCTTTTCTCATTTTAAGCTGACCACAAACCAGTCAGACTGGTTCTTACATGGACAAAAAAGAGCTCTACCCCAGAATTGGAGCCGATCCCCCATCAGCAAAGAAGGAAGACAGCTTTAAGATAGTAAGAGGAAACGAAAAAAAAAATAATATGGGAAAAGAAAATTTAATGTTAGCAAATATAAATTATGGAATACAGCCACACAGTATCCACAGGAAGTATCCCATCAAGGATTGCAGATTTAACAAAGATTGGGAGTATATTGACATTACTGCATGCTCCCTCAAGTCGAGAATTAAAGAGCATGCCACAATCATAACAAAAAGACACCTACAATTTTTCTCACAAACATTGCCAGGGACTGCCCTGGCAACATTGTGAAAGAAAATGACATCCATATTAATCTAGATGAGGACAAAATCTCTATGTGACATCATTAACTTGAAACACCTAAAGAGATTTGAAATTTACAAAGCTTTCATGAAGTCCAAAGATATCAACTAAAAGATTTTGAGTCCATCTCAAATGCTGGAAAAATTTCCATAAATATTTTAGTGTCAGAAAACTCTACCCCTTCCACCATGTGTAGACATTTTACCCACTGTAATTATCATGATGTGTGCATCTATAGGTGCACATTTGTATTTCTTTGCTTGTAAATGATGCATCTATAAATTTTTAACACATGACATTTGTAACCAACTGTTTTTGTATTCCTTTATGTTTAGGTGAGCTCCATTTTTGTTTGTATGTTTGAAATTGTTGAATAAACTCAGTGATAACTGTTTAACATAATCAAAAACATTAGATTTTTTCATTAAATTCTTGCCTTGTTGGAGTTTTAAAGCTGTTTGTATGTTAATTAAAGGCTTTACATTCTTTGAACTGATTTATTGGAGTTTTCCATGTAAAAAAGTTCAAAAGGCATTAAAACTTTTTCATGTTGCTAAAAAAGTTGTTCAAAATTTTAAAAATAATCACTAACCTCTTTCTTTGTTGGATAAAACAGAAGTTAGTGATTATTCTTAAATTCAAATTAGAGTTCAATTTAATGTTGCAATATGAAAAGTCAGTATGAATTTTGTATTGCAGTTAGAGATTACGGTTATTTCTTCAAGATTAATTTTTATAGTTGTTATTTACTTGTTTTTGCATAATTATATAGCAATAATATTAAAGAGCAATTAAATTGTTATATTTGAGTTTATTTTTCATGTAGATAGTTCTTGAATTGAAACAGTTTTATAACACTGTGCTTTACAACATTAAATCTAATATTAGTTTTTGAACTAAGCATGCTTATTTTATATTGTAATGGTCTTTAAAACAAATGTACTAAAAATGAAAATAAAATTCACCAACCTTAAGTAGGCCTTGCACTGTAGTGAGCTTTCTATTATGAACATTTTTGGTTGACTTCTAAGACTTCAGATAGATTTTTTTCAAAATTGCTACTACCAGAAAAGTAGTAGCAATTTTGAAAAAAATCTACCTGAAGATCTTAGAAGTAGAGTTACTGTACGTATTCTGTTACATACAATAACTCTAGATAAGCATATATAAGTTTAATAAATAAGCGTAATTTATAGTTGCATATAATTACTTGGTCCATGTAACATTATCGATAATTTTGTTCTTCAATGAGAAAAAGGTTGAACACTGTGTTACGCAATATTTATACATTTTCACCAAAATTAAAAATACTTTAGTTAGCATTTTTGTGTTTGTGTTTTTTTTAGCCTTACTGCTTATTTCTTGAGTTTTGTAGAAAGAGTGAAAGACAACTGAATAAAATATAAAAAAATATTTTATAATTTTAAAATAATGAAATAATTTTCATTATGGATAAAATTTATTCTTAAAATTTCTTAAAATCATTCTTAAGAAAGTATAAATGTATATTTGGAATTGTTGAAGCAAAAAATAGTAAAAGTTAACTTCTTATCAAGATAATTACATTATTATATTGTTACAAGAGAATTTTTTTTGGAATTCATATTTAAATGTAATGACAATTTGTCATTTTCATTAAGGAATTCAAATTAAAATCTAATATAAATATTCATTTTAAAATAGCAAGGACTCAAAACACAATCCAAAAGAAAAGAAACAGAAAAAAAAGAATATACTGTAGTTGTCAGATGTAAAATTCACTGAGATATTATTTGTTATTTAGACAACAATAATATGTTAATAATAAATTTTCTTAAATCTTAAATGCCATTTTTTTATATTAAAAAGTATATTAATATAAAAAATGAGAGAGGAATATGATTAGAATTGAAGCTAATGACATTTGCAATCTTTTAGAGCTTTGATTGCAGCAAAAAATAAATAAAAGTAAATGGGTAGAAAGCACTCTGCAAAGTTTACTGGATTAATTAAAAACACTGATGAGATAATTGAAATTGAGTAAAAAGCATTGATAAAATAATTAAACTGTATATTAAATAAAATGCATATGGAGGTATTTAATGTAAAAGTTATTCTATTCTATTATATATTTTTTATTTTCTGCATTTTATTTATTATTATAATTTACATATCCTACAAGTTTAATTGAAGTAGAAAAATATTTATTGCATTTTTAAATTTGGAGTATATATATCTGTTAAGATTAATCTGCAATAAATTTTTATCTGTTGTAAGATGAGAAATAAAAATAGTGTATAATTTCTTTTAATTTTTTTACATAATTAAAAATATTTACAAATATTTTATAAAATCTAATTTAAAATTAAAATTATAACACAATAAATCATTATTGATTTTTTATAACTATTAATGCTAATGTTTTCATATATTTCTAAATAATAATTTAGAAAAATATGAATTTGTAAGTAATAATTAATAATTTGTTCATAAATGACTAAGATTTGTTTTGAATTTTCAGTGTTACTCATTAGAAAAATTGATGTTTTAATATGATTTGTGCTTTTGATTTTCTTTATAGACAATTTTGAAAAGTTTATTTTAATAATTTTTAGTTTATAATTTTGTTTTTTAGAGTCATCCTAGTATTAGAGTAAAAGGAACAGAAAATGAATTTGATCCTGTTGATTGTAATGATATTCAATGTTCTATCAAATCTTTTCATATGCATTGCCCTTTCTGTGTTAAAACAGAATCGTATCAAGATTCACGTATTTTGAAAGCTCACTATCATGTTAAACATGTTGATAAGGGAATAGAATTTGGTGGTAATATAATCTTTTCTGTTTTTATTTTTTAAAGTTTCTTAAATTGATGTTCAGTCTTATTTTATTATTTTAAATTTTTCCGTAGGACTAAAGATTCTTCGTTGCTGTGAAAGATGTGATATTGTTGGAGCAATTAAGGAAGAAAAAAAATTTAAAGGAGCTCATTGGCATTGTTTTATATGTAAAAATGGATTTAATCGTAGAGATGAAGCTATAAAACATTATAAAACTCATTTTCGTCACCCTTGTACTACTCTGCAGATACATGTTCCACAGGTAAAATTTAAAATTATTTTTCATTTACATTTCATATTTATTAGAATGGCTACTTGTTGGTTAAATATAAATATGTGTTTAGAGCTACACATATTTAACAAAGATCTTTCCAAATAAGCTTTAAAATATATACAGTATATTCTTGATTATCTGGATTAATCATTGGTAATGAAGGCAAGAATAATGTGGAAACACAGATAATTCACAAGTCTGTTTTAATGAAAGCTAATTGATTTTTTTCTATTTAGTTTTTAATTTCATATTAAATTTAACATAATAGTTTATATTTATTATGAATAAAATATGTTTGAGAGAGATAATTAATTAATTAATGAGCTTTAGATATGATCAGAGTTGAATAAGACAGAAACATAAGACAAACAGAAAATTCAGAAAAATTTATTAAACTAGTGTCTTGCAGTTCACTATCAATTTCTTGTATTATTAACCAAGAATGACAAGTTTCCAGCTGGATATCATTGTAAAACATCATTAATTTTGCAATATTAATGATTTGTGATAAGGATATAATTTAAAATATTTTTTCAAACAATTTTACAACTTACTTAATGAAAAAAGAAAAAAAATACAATAGACACATAAGTAAAGCCATATTGTTCAAAAATCAATTGCACTTGTATTTGTTAGGCCATTTAATTTATGCCTTGATGTTCTGGAAGTTGTTCTGATGCTCAATATACCATTTTAAATAGCAAGAGTTAACAATGAATATTTTTTTATTTTAATTCTAATAATTGTTGTAAAAATTGTTGCTATTAGTCTGGATTAATTCTGATCATTCAAATCTTATTGATATTTTTGAAGCAACAACACCCGATCCCATTAGAGCAATGCAAATCTCAAGCAAAGTATTTAAATTTATTTGAAATTTTTCACATTAATATGATATAAATTAAGCACAATTTTTAATTATATCATTTATTTACAGCACAAATCATTATACGTGACTTCCGACAGAACAGTTCGGCAATTTAATATGGTCATGTGTAAAGGTCGCTATGAAAACTGCGTGCGTTGCATTCAAGATCCATATTGCGGGTGGGATAAGGATCGAAATGAATGCAGACATTACACTGCAGGGTTTGTACTAACTTTAAAAAAAATTAATTAAACAAAAAGTTATGAAAATAAAATTTTACTTTTCTTTCCAGACTATTGCAAGATGTTACTAATGCTACACCTGGTATCTGTGATAATCGTAAGTATTATAAATTATATTCCAGGAATATCATTACCTCAACATTTCTAATACTATAAACTTATTACAGATGTAAAAAATAAACCTCTTCATGTTTATTGGGGTCAAAGTGTGCATTTAGCTTGTCCCATTGAAATGCCAGATATGGAGAATATTAGGTTTGCTTTCCTTCAATGGTACCACTATAGCAGAGAAAAAGGAAAGTATCCAGTTATGCAACAACACAGAGATAAGTACATTCATACTGCTGATCATGGTTTAGTAATTCTTTCTGTCACTGAAAGGGATAGTGGACGATATGATTGCAAAATGGGCAGCAGTACGCTTTGCAGCTATAATATAACAGTTGATTCAAGTATATATTTACAAATTATTCTATTAAAGTTACACAAATTTAAATTTAAGTAAATACTTTTATTTTAATTGTTGCAGAAACATGTAATGCTCCAACAGACACTGATTATAGAAAGGTTTATTCTGACTGGTGTCAAGAATTTGAAAAATATAAAGTTGCTATGAAAACATGGCAAAATAAACAAGCTGTGAGTAGAATAAATTTATTAATTGATTATTTTTCAATCTACAATATTAAAATTTACTTGTAAATGGAATTCTTTAGAAGTGCCAGATTGCTCATCCGAATGATGTGACCTATCAGCGAAGTCCGAGTGCTTAATTTGTCCAGTGGGTGTAAAGCCACACCTACTGTGCTCAACATCTTTTGTCAAGTATCAGGAGGTGCTAAAAGCTGTGGGTTATGCAGCAGTATCATTTTTGTAAATACATGCACATTTCCTCTTTGCAAGATCAGGAGCCACTTCCCACATGGCATAATCATACAGTGCTATGCACATAGTATTGGCCATGGACTATAACGATATGCAAATGCTCAAAGCACAAGAATGTATTAGGTCATTGGTCGGTGGCATTCTACGTTTGTTCAGAATAAGGTGTACCATTGACAACATATCTGTGTGCTTAGGTTACGTTTCATACTTTGCACACGTCTAATAACGTGTGCATATGTGTGCATGTGTGTGTGTGTGAACGTCTTAAAGTACTGTGATTTAAGAATTTATGGGGTGGGTATATTTTTTGTCTTTTATTTTGAAAAGTTTTTTATAAAGAAGTAAATTTACTAGCCATCATTTGGGAAGTGATAGCTGCTTCAAGGTGCTGCTATTTGTAGCGTGTGTTTTTAAATTTTTTATCGATAATTTTTCCTTTTTAAATTATTCATCTCTAGAAAAAGAACATATGCATTAATTTAATGAGATGATAGGAAAGATTCAAACTGAAAATTTGTGATGGGCAAAACAATTAGAACAAAAATTTTCATTTATTACTCTAGCAATATACAATGCTAGATGTGTGTGCATGACATTCGTGAGGCATATTGCCTTTATCTGTGAAAATGAAACGTACGAAACAAGTACTGTTTCCCAAAATGGGATTATTGACAATAAGAAAAATTATATATACATAAACAGTACTAATAGAAGAAAAAATAAAGATGCTCAGATAGACAGTGCAAAATATCAAATAGACTGTTTTGTTGGAAACATTTCTTGTAGTGTTATTAAATTTCATGCCTTCAATTATTGCTCATCTAAATATTACTGTTAGTATACAGTGAGATTTCTGGAAAGTTGACAATCTTATCTTGTAAAACTAAATGGATTGAAATGCAATGTTTGGTGTGTACAGTGGCTGTGTCTGTAATTATTATATGAGGATAAAAAAATATGTTTATTCTTCTGTGATTGAAAAATGATGATAATGGTTAGACTGTTTATTTGCTTATAGGACTGTTTTAAAATGTTTGTTGATTAGTTAACCTTAGAAGTTATATTCAAAAAAAGGTAACCATTTAAAGGGAGAATAATTTGAAATGGTTATCAAACTATTTTGGATTTGTTGTAGAAATATACATAAGTTATAATATATCACTTTTATTCCCAACCTGTGTTTACTTTACACTAAACATATCATAGTTTGTCTTTTATGGGTATAAAGAACTTAAATCTATTGCTATTTTAGTAGGAAAAAAACGAAAAATAAGCCACAAATTTGCTCAGATTTGTGTAAAAATTGAAAGATTGCTTATTAGAAATTTGTGTCATACTTATGCACCAAATGGACAAAAAATGAATGTTCCCTTCTGTTTATAATAATTGTTAGATGTACAGCAAATTCTTTGTGGGTTCTGATTATCTCATTTGATATTTTTCACAGTGGGCACCTTATTATATATCAGACTTCTCCTTAGCACCAAGATGTCGATGGCCAAATAAAAAAAAATATATATATGTAAATTTATTCACGGCTGAATAGAGGCAGCTCTTCTGTTTAAAAAAAAAAAATGCAAGAGAAAAACAAACTTTAATTGCATAAGGACCATTGCTTATTTCAGTATTATATTTTTAATTTTACATCAAAAGTCAGGTATATTTATGATTACTGTCATGTCTTGACTCATCTTTTGTAAATGTCATATCTTCATTTACAGTTATTGTTGATCATCGAGGAAGAAACATTATTGTAATACTTAGGTTTTTTTATATCAAATGTTTTCATTCCACTGTACAACTACTCATTGAAACTTCAACTAGAAAATAATCTTTCTATTCTAATCACAATTTACAGCACATTATTCTAGACTAATGTAAGAATGGCATTTGCAACCTTTAAAAAAGAAAAAAAAATTATATATAGAACAATAACAAAGGTTTTGATAATATTGTAGGTTCTTTATAATATATATAAAATGAAAATTTTGCATTCCTGTAGCTTAAAAAAAAGGTTATTATTACATTAATTTATTCTCATTGTGCTGGTATAAACATTGGGTTTGTCATTTTGAATTTAAAAGGAAAAAATTCTAATCGTAACAAAATAGAAATTGCATTAATGAAATTTGATAAATTTGTATGTATTTCTTCTTCTTTTTTTTTTTTTTAAATATTTATGTTCCCAGTGTTTTAAAAACTCTCCAGTCCCCATTCTGCCAGCCGAACGGGATCAACCGGGTGACCCCATTCGATTCACATTACTCAACTCTCCTAGACAGTGTGCAAATTAAAACTTTCTGCTTAGCATAGCAATATTTCTTTATAATTATTGTATTAATAAAACTAATTTATCATTGCTTTGTACATAGTAGGAAAAAAATTTCTATATTGTTGGCTTCTGCACACTGCCACTTTAGCACCTTGTAAGTGTACAATTCACCCATTTTTATGCTGTTCATCAACATGTCCTGTACTTGTAAGGTGTAAGTTAATTAAAGAATTTAGACACCAAGTTCTGTTTTTGTTTTTAATCTAGAAACAATCACCAGTAAACAATCATTTTTCCTTTTTGTCTCAACTCTTCACAGTATTGATGCATTTCACTGCAGTAAAGATCAATCAATGCTAGTTTTCTCATCTGTGAATTTGATAAAGTAAAATAATAATGATGAAAATTATGATTTAATTTTAAAATTAGAATTATGTGGTAATAAATTACATAAAGAATTAGATCAACTGAGTTATTAAAAATTATATAATTAATTTTTTATTTATAATACAAAAGAAATTAATGCCCAATTGATGGCCATTCTATCTTTTGCAGTTTCTTCAGCCATAATTTTGCTATAACCACTGAAAGTTTTGCTGGTTTGGTGATCACATTCCAGCCAATTGCTCTTCCAACAAGCAAATTTTTCTCTAAATAAAAACAGCAATATGTGATTTCAGTCTTTTATCATTTCAACTCCTGAAGACTGCACACTTTGTTTAATTATAAACTGTTTGTTTTTAAAAATTGGTATTTGTTTTAAGACCATTAAACTAAGATGTTAATTGCTTGTGTGAAGAAACCAAAATATTTAGATTTCATATTTAATTNTCATGATGTACCAAATTTCACCTCTTTAGGTTCAGCAGTTTGCTCTGGGCAATGATGAATCACTCAGGACATGTAATTTTATATATCACAAGTTCTTGCGCTGCGTATCTCACCGACCACATGACTGTGCTGCATGGTTACCTATCTCGTATACATACGCATCTTGCCCCTCGCGACCCGCTGACACCAAAAATATAATGCTTACCTAGATGACATCTTTTGATTTATATGAATGTTTAACGGAATAATGTACAGCCTATGTCCACCCTGAAGGTCCATTCTAAATATTGGTATCCGAAACTACTCATCCGATTTTTGAAATTGGATGAGTAGTTTTGGAGATTACCTCCTACATCCAAACTTACAAACTTTATCTCTTTATAATATTAGTATGGATGATGATTATTACAAAAAATGAGATAGGGTTTACTGAAAAATATTGATGTTTAATATCAAAAATATAATAATATTGATATTTGTATATATATTATATATGAGATAGGCACACAACAATTTAGACAACTAAATAGCAATGGCAGACTTTTTCATTAAACATATACAGAAATTTTCCAAAAAAACAACCTCTGCTAAGACTAACAAGTTTTGTCTTATGTAGTCTGTTTATACCAGGAGACAAAGAAGTGTTTTGAATCGATCTTTGTCTCCAAATTAAAACAGACTACAACTTTGGTTATTAGTCTTAGTGGAGGTTATTCTTTGGAAAATTTCTGTACATGTTACGTGAGATAGGGTTTACTTAAAAATATTAATATTGGTAACAATACTTTTCAATAGACCCTATCTCATTTTTGTAATAATCATCGTTTACTTTATAATTTGATTCATATTTGTTTAATTAATTATTATTTTATTTTAGTAGATGTAGTACATTCAATTATGATTTCAATTTCTAAGTATTCATGAAAGTGATAAATTTGTATCAACATTAAAGTTCATAGTTAATATCTATTCTTGATTATAAAGTTAAATTTCTGATTGTTTTGTGTTGTGAAATATTTTAAATTTGATTTATATTAAGAAAGAATTAACATAAAAAAATGTGAAACTATTTAAATAGGAATAAAAAAATGTTCTTCTTTTAAATAAACATTAACAATGTGAATTTTAAAACTATGGAATGAACAAATTTTGAAAACTTTTTGATTAATTGATTGTTCAAATTCTGCAAAGATTTAAAAAAAATTTATCTTTGAAAAAATTTCAGTTATCTCACAAAATTAAAAATGTTAGAGTGAAAATAATAATTTAAATGGAATAATCTATTTCAGTATATTTACATGATAATTTATTAGTTTCAGCAGTTATTCTAAAAAACAATGAAGATACCAAAGAGATTTTTCAAGATAAAGAAGATCAAGGTACATCTATTACCACAACATCAGAAAATGTATCTACTGATAATCAAGCAGCTATTGTGATAATTCAAGAAGATCAGTTAGCTGGATCATCTGGTTCAAATACATCCATTAGTCAACCTATAAATACCATTGAAGTAAGAAAATTATTTATAATTTAAGTGTAATAAATATGCTAATGTATTTAAGCTTTATTCAAATTTTGATATAAATTAGGATCAAGAAATGGAAAGTAAGTGGCAACTTGGAAAATTAGTTACTCATTTACAAGATCAACTAGATCAGTTAAGAGCTGACAAAGACAAGATGGAAAAATCTTTAAAATCTGAAGTTGAACAGTTGAAAGCTCAAGTATATTGATTTTGTTTTCTTTATTAATAAATGATTAATGAATGAATTAGTAATATATTATTTATAAATATATATAGGTACAAAAACAAACAACTGAACTTGATTTTCTCAGAAAGAAAAAAGAAGAAATACAAGTTAATATTCTATCAAATTCAAGATTACAACAGATGGTATCTAACTTACAGAAGCAACATACTGAAATGTTACATCAGCATATACAGCAAGTGAAACAAGAAATTTATCAGTCTGCTTTAAAAGAATTTCAGGTAGCTTAATTATTTAGAAAGTCATTTGATTATTAAATAAAATTAATTGCTGCAATAAAAAATTTTTTCAATGCAATATCAAGCAATGTGTTTCTTATTTTTTATGATTGTTTATAATGTTTCAAGTTCAATTATTGTTTCAGTTTCAATTATAAATATTTCTGTTATTGAAATAATAATTGAAGTAATAACTGTTGCATTAGCTGTTATTGAAATAATAATTGCTTAACATTTGGGACACTGTATTAATTTATACAGTGTGCCAAAATTCATAATACATGGAAAATTTAACTTATTAAATATATTGTCTCTCTCTACATGTTAATCATTTTTGTCTAAATACACATTTGTATCGCTCCCACTCAAACTGAGCATATATTAATATATTAGATGTTATTCGCCTAATTGAACTTTGAATGTGTTCCTTTAGGTAATCCATATTTTGAATCTTTTCTTGGTACACCAAAGTCTTCAAGTGTTCTGCAGGTAAAAATTGAGAGGGTTAAGATCTGGGGATTTCAGGGGCCATTTCAAGGAACAACAATGACAAATCCATGAACCTGGAAATTGATGATGCAATTTTCTACAGATTTATACTTATACAGCTACTTTAGACAAATTTAAAATAGCATATAAACTCTTGGATATAAAAGTATGAAACTGATAATGTGGCTTTCATATTACGAGAGAAATAATCAATAAATATCAAAAAATTACATTTGCTATAATTTTTATAATGAAGTATAGTTATCAAACACTGCTTCTTTACTGTAAATGATAAGGTGAAGCTGTTTTAACTTTTGCTGTTCTGTTAACAAAACTTGGACTTAAACCAATACCACTTTCAAATCTAATATGCACCCAATTTTTGAGATGTCAAAATCTGAAAAAATATTAGCTTTTGAATGTGATTATTGCTGTACATCACCAGACATGCAGCTGTAGAAAATAAATGTATTCAAGCAGCAATAAATGCATTTTTGAAAACTATTTTATTGTTTCATTTGTAGTGACTATATGATGATCGCATTTCCAAATATATTCATCTATGACTCCATTAACAGGTATGGGATCTGAAGACTAACAAAATCAATATTCCCATACAATCAATGTTTTAACAGTGAGATTTCATGTCAGTATGCACAAACATGATAGTTACCAGATAGGTAGTATCACACTGATATATCAAGCTTCAGCATATATCAGTGTTCTTCAGCATAGCAGCTAGCTTTCTGCATAAACTTACCTTTAATGAGACCTGCTGTACATCATTCACTCAGCTTGTTATAGTTCCAAAAAACCACCAAACCATTCCAAAACCAAATTGAAAGTAAATTAAAACTGGAGTAGTGAGAGTCTATACCAACAATGAAATACATGCAAAATGCCAACTGAAGTGAGATGCAAACAAGACTGCATTAAGTCAACTTTATACCTGATTCTAATGTATATGAATATAAGCTATACACTCAAATTAGAATGTATAGCTTATCTTAAAATACCGTATTTACTCAAATATAAGATGATCTCGCATATAGGATGAGGTGTGGCTTTAAAGATCAAAATAAAGAAAATTAGATTTATTAATACAATTCTAATTTTATTTAGTTTAATTTCGTTTAAAATATCAAATGAACGTAAATGCACACATTGTCTTGCAAAAATTACTGACATTTTAAACTTTAAGGAAAAATCTTGTAAAATCAACAACATAATTTGTTCATGTAAAGCTGGACAATCGGGAACCTTTTTTACCAATTTTTAACAGTCAGATTCACTCTTCGTCAATTACACTTATGAGTTTCTTGAAATTCTGATTTCCAAATAATCATCTGTTTTCACGTGGGAATGAATTAAAACTTATATTGGGCTCCCATGTAATTTTGGAAAATTCAATTCAAAAGCTTTGCTTACTCAAATGACCCAGATAAAATACTTTTGTTTTTAAACACCAGAAGGTGAGAATCTGGTGAAAAATGTGAATACACAATTTACAAAAATTATACAGAAATGAAAAGAATCCTTTGCTTGCGTGTATAGGACAACCTAGGTTTTTGAAGCAGTGAAAAATGGATAAAAACCTTGTCTTATATGCAAGTAAATATGGTATTAGTCTTAAGCTAATTCAATAATGTACTAGTAATGTTAAACTGAGATCATAATACATTTTCATATATCTTTTGCTTTGGTCTTTAGAATTATTCCATTTTAATTGTAAAATAAAATTATTCAAAAATCATACTTATTTATAAGTATAATTTTTGAATAAGCAAAATAATACCAGATTTTTTAAAATTATATTTAAAAATCTGGCAATATTTGGCTTTTGTTTAGCATTAAGATTTGGACTTTGATTTCTGTAAATTTGTACTTTTATCATTTAAATATATTTTTTATTCTAAATAATTCTTTAAACAATATTCTTGATTATATTCTTTAACAAATTTTAATATAGATAATTTTTTTATATAGGGCATTTCATCTTCAAGCAGTACTCGAAATATTTCCAACTCTACCTTATCATCTAATGATCAAACAGTTCTTGCATTGTTTCTAGATAATACAACAGGAATTGTATCACAAACACTTCCTGTTTCACTATCATCAACTTCACAGACTCCAACATTATCTCAGTCTCCTGTTACAGATAATCAAGTTATGCCTATTTCTATTCCATTATCTTTGCAGTCAACATATTTATCAGATAACTTAACTATGTCAAGTTTAACTACAACACAGTCTAATTCCAGTAGTCAGCCATGTCTCACTTCAACAAATTCTTCAATTTTAGATAATAATGACTGTCCAGTTGTGGTTAATAGTTCAGCTAATGTTCGATCATCAAAACAGAATAATAACTCACCATTATATAATCCTAGTCTTCCCACTGTTCAACAGTTAATATGTGGCATTGCAATAAATAATGGAAAAACTGAACAAGCTTCTAGTGATAAGCTTTTAATAGCTATACCTTCTAACTTATTATCAACTCCAGTATCCTCAAGTACAAGCAGACAGAATACAAACATTTCTGCAAATCAGAATACACTCACATCTATTGATTCAGCAATGATACCAACAGAAACAAATGGTTCAACTCCAAATTCATTTGTCACATGCAACAGTTCATTTACAACTTGTCCAATGACATTTTGTTCAGAAGCAACCAATTTCAATAATACATCTTATATCATTACTGAAGGCAATAAATCATGTGCATTACAGATGCCAGCAAATGGAAATCTTTCATACTCTGAACTTATTTCTTCACAGATTACTGAAAAGAGAAAAATGAGTTCATGTAGTGGAATGGGAATAGATAAAAGAAGAAAATAAATAGGTATAAATTTAATATAAAATTTATTTATTAGTGTTGATGGTATAAGAAATTATAGAATATCTTCCATAAAATATTTTCCATTGCATTTAGACTAGCTTTCTTCTAACACTTTTATGAATATTGTAGATTTGTGATTTTACAGTAAAATGCAAATTGTTATTAGTGATTCACATTTTGAGTGGTCATAATTTTTGAAAAACAAAAAAAAATCACTTTACACATTTAGGATTTTCACAATCTTTATGTATTTCGATTTTTAAGGAATCTTAAACTTTCCAACATAGCCTTGTGTGTATTGATGTTTCATTATTTAAGATAACTTTTATTACTACAGTAGAACCTCGAAAACTCGGCCTAATGTGGACCGAAGGGTGGCCGAGTTTGTGAAAATGCCGGGTTATCGGGAATGGGGTTAAAAAAGGATAAGTATGCGTTTTTCCTCAGAAAATACTGTACTGTACTTGTATGTATTGTTTACTTGAGAATATAACAGAGAATAAACTGCCCAAATACCCTTAAACAAAGGAAAAGTACGTCCTTTATGAAGGCATAGAGCCTTTACTACATGAAAATGAAAATTAATGAATACACTGTGTACAGTAATTTACCTGATAAGACAGACCTCAGAAAAATACTTTATGAGAGCTTTTATACTTTTATAAAGCTGTCTATAATGAAAATTAATTAACTAAGGATTTTTTTGCCCTGCCAGGGTGTGGCCGAGTTATCCGGAGTGCCGGGTTATCGAGAGCCGAGTTTTCGAGGTTCTACTGTATTAAGTAAAAACATCCTTCTCTTTACTCTGCAAATTATATTTATATAAATGTTCAATGCTCAAATTAACTCTTATTTGTGAAGGAAAAATTTCCATTATAATATGAAATTTTGATAATACCACTAGTTTTAGAATTAATAAATATTACAAAGTTTTGTACTTCTGTACAGGATATTTTTTAAGAAATATTATGTTTATAATTTTATTGATCTTCAGAGATATTTTATGAAAAAACAAGAAAAATAGCATAATAAAAGATTAAGTGTTTATCCTAATATTTTTAAAATTTCATAATATATATTTTAAGAAATGGTAATGGTTAATATTTATATTAATGGTAAGCATCTCATGATGTAACAACTCTTCGTTATATTTAAAAAAAAATTTTCTGTGCTTTGATCAAGGGAACATAATAATTATTCATTTTGATAGATTTATTTTGAAAAAATTAATTTTAATACATTATATATTAAATATAAGCAACAAAATATTTTAAAATAATTTTTGTTGAAAGTAGTAGTAACATTTTTCTTTGTAAATATTAATGTTTAATGTTATATACAGTATAATAATATTTATATAATGGTCTGTTGAAAACTGAATTGTGCTTATTTTTATCCTATATTTTTTTTTAATAAAATCTATACTGTATTAGCAAGCTGTAAGGGTCAGTCTGTATTTAAAATATATATTGTAAATACTAATTGCCAATTATATTTGGCATTAACAAATAGTAATAGTTTTTTTAATGATAACAAAAATTGCTAAAAAGTTATACTCCAGTTTTCATACAAAAAATTTAGTTTAGTTGAAACATTTTTATGCATTTTTACATTGTTTAAATTGTATACAAAAACTAGAGAAAAAAAATCAGTGATTTGATTATTTTCTAAGAGAAATGATTCACAGATCATGTAAGGGAATAATGTCTTTTTTCTTTGTCTGCTTATCATGTGACCATTTGTAGAATATTTTATAATTTTGAAATTTTGATTAATCTTGTATTTTTCCAATAGAAAAATTTTCAATCAATTTTTATTTTAACAGAATATTATAAAATTCACATCTGTCTTATGGATTAACTTATGGATGTTACTGCATCAACATGTTTAATCCTTAAGTATATTAATTCTTAATTTTAAAGTAAAATCTAGAATTTATTTTAAAAATCTGTTTACTGAATGACCAAAGCTGTAAAGTTACAGACTGTTACTCAGAGGGATTAAAGTTCTGTATCCAAGTCAGGTCCCAATTTTTCATGGCCAATTTAACCTGGATATACATTGGGTTGTCTTTCTCACCAGTCAGTTTTATTAAAATTCAGTTGTTTTTAACATCATTTACATCAATAAATACCTCAAGTTCACATCAGATTATTGAATTATTTGGTAATTATCTTGTAGTAAGCTTCCAGAATTAAAATTTGTGTAAGTTTCAAACAAAAAATTCAGTCTATTTTGAAAATTCCCTAACTTTACCAACTAAAAGTGTGATGTAAGTCTTTAATAGAAACTGAATAAACTTATACTTGAGTTACAAAATCCGAGAATTGTGATCTATCAGCGCAAATGGGTATCAATGTTAATTTTAATAGACTTTTTACAACTGGTTTAAGGATAATTTTACTTTTTTACACAAATTTGTCTTATGTTATGCAAAGATAACTTTAAAAAATTTAGATGATTAAAAATTTAAATAGAGAATGATATATAATGAAATTTGTGTTAACAATATAAAATATTGCTGTTACATTAAATTAATATTTGTAATGATTCAATAATGTGAAAAATTTTAAATAATAACTTTTATTATTATTATTTTTTTATTATTATTGCAAATATCCTAAAGTCAGTTTATAAAGAAATAAATGATGCAGTTTTCTTGATGCACTATAGAAATTATTATTTTATGTAAAATTAAATGTCAAAAAAGTTAATGTATCTGTTAGTAAAATTTGAAATTCTTATTAAAAATTGTTATAGATGACTGGACTGCCAAGGTGATAAAGGCACTATTCTATTGCTCTGGGGACCTGGGTTGAAATTTGGGTCAGAATCTCAGAAATTTCATGTTTGAACTAGATAAGTCCATCAGTCACTGCCTGGCATCCGCATTAAGGGTTTGTCCAAATTTATGATGGATAAGAAACAAGCTATCTAAGTGCTAGCAGATTCAAAAAGTATATAAATATTGCTAATAACCATAATTTTTAGTAAGGTATAAGTTATTAGTTTGACTAGTAAGAATTTAGAAGTTATTATTGGAATCTCTGATTCTTTTATGAAAAATAATGCTCCTTATGCAGAAATATTTTATATATTGAATAATTGAATTGCATAATTTTTATTTAAAGTTTAACAACTCATATTTTTAAGTAATTAATATTTTTAGAGTACATTTATAAAATTATTTTGTAAAATTTTCTTTTATTTATTTATTTGTAATATAACTTCAGGATGTTATATTTCAAACTGTAACAGACTTGAATTGTTAATGCCAGTTATTCTAAGGCAAAATAAGAAGACAATGAGCATCGTTACCTGTCCTACTCAGTTTTATTTGAATGATATTAACAATTAACAAAGGTTCATTTGATTGTTAACATTTATTGCTGCATTTTTCAACCAGTGGTGTACAGTCCATCATTGTATGGGGTTTTAGGGGTCTGTGACATGCAAACCACTGAGTTATTGTCATAGTTTTGCTGTCAAATCATTTGAAAATTCTCATAAAGATCAATAATCTTTTTAATATTAAACTTTTAAGAAGGAAAACATTTTAATATTTTTATTTCCTGAAAAATATTTCAATAATTTCAGTTATAACAATTTATATATTATGAAAATAAATAAATCAAAATTTAGCAAAATGTAAAAAAAAAAAAGTTCTATTTCTGAAATAATTAAATCTACACAAAACTGCCAAAAATATAGTAAAAATTGTATTAAATAGTAAAATATTAGAGAGATGATTCGATAAGCAAATTGTTTTTCTATTTAATTAACATTTTAAAATGTGATAGTCATATATATATATATATATTGTATATGAATGTGCATTGTGGAAATTTTATAGATTGTATTATGTAAATGTGAATGTTGACAAGATTTGTTCCAATTGGATAACAAATGACCTATACTGCCACTTGTTCATACTATCTGTAGAGAATTTTGGGAAAAAAAATTGTCAAAATGATTTTTTTTTTTTTTAACTTTGTAAATTATTTTTAAAAAGAATAAAATGTAATATTACGTTTTTTCAATATCTTATGTAAAGTGATTCAGTATTTATTTATTAAATTTAGATTCTCAATTTTTTTCACATTTTATGAGCCACTGATTTTATTTTTATCTTTATTATGTAATTTATTAGCTGTGATATATTTTCTGTTTTAAGGATGGAACTAATTGTTGGTCCAGTGTTGAAAACTATACTTTGATTATTTAAGCAGTTTTTAAACACTTGAGGTTTTTAAGCAAATGTGAATTTTTAATTATTTTATATATATATAATAAAAATTTATAAATTGTAAATTATTTCCTCAATAAATTATTAAAAGAGAAATTATATTTCTTGATCTTTTCTATCTTCATTTACATTTGCAAAAATTTAAAATATTAACTACTCTTTTGAATATACAAGGAAAATTCTATATTAATATCTTACACAGAATATTTTTGGGGCTAGATGGTGGTGTGAAATTCGAAGTTAATAACAGCATTTTATCCTTTAAAACTTTAATAAATTTAAACTAAAAATGCCCTCAACCTAAAGAATTTGACCCTACAAAAACGAAATATAAAGTACATGAGAGAATTATAACTCTCTGTGTTTTAATATAAACATTCTCACGATCAAACCGTATATAGTTTACAGTTATCCGCGAAATTCGTCATATTGTTGTCATTTTAACACCACCTTTAACCCCACACCTGCTAAAACAATTGATCACCTGACGAATTTTCCCACCAAAAAGGTATAAAAGCCATCCTGTTACTCAGAGGGATTAAAGTTCTGTATCCAAGTCAGGTCCCAATTTTTCATGGCCAATTTAACCTGGATATACATTGGGTTGTCTTTCTCACNGATTAAGGAGTCACCCATCGAACGACCAGACGGACCTTCACTTCCCGTTGACCTACTGCACGACACTGATTAGAAGACCTTGTGACCAACTCGAGTCACCTGTCAGCAAATTAAACAGACGAAGTATCCACCCGATACTGTCACAGAGGTATGAAATATAATTGTAAACTCTCTCTCTCAGCCGCGGAGTTTTGTACGATTTTTATTTTGGTAGCTAGTAAAATAAATCGTTGTTTTGCTTTAAATGGTGTCGCTACTCGACTTTGCTCACGCCTTATCGTCGACCCCTCCGACTCTCCTCCACTCGCGTAACGCGTAACCGAACGTTACTACCATCCTTGACAAGAAAGTAGGTCCGAGACCTGTGGCCGGAAAGAGAGGCCAGCTCCTCCCTCCCGGTGGCTCACAGTGGTATGAGATAGGAAAAATGCCACCCGCCTAATGGACATTGCCTAATAAACCCTTTTTAAAAGTGTTTTGAATATTTATCATAAAAATCAAAACGTTTGAAGCAACAAAGACAGAAGAAATAAATTATAAAGATGCAATGTTATGTTTTTATTTTCATTATTAATTGTGTGTACTATGAGACAGCATTTGCAAAGCTAGCATCATTATTATTTTTCACTATTCAGCATTTAGTATCTAAATCTGGACCTATAATTTAAAATGAGAAATTCATGTTTTATTGGTCATGATAGCACAAGATGGAAAAAATATTAATTTATGCACATTCCAAATACAGTGGGTGATCAGTTAACGAACAAATCAGATAACGAACATTTTCGCAAAAGATTTTTATGATCGGACAACGAACACATGTTCAGATAACGAACACTTTACTGAACAAACACAAGAAGAAGCAACGTAAAATAACGAATACCAATTGATCTTCCTTTGTCTTCAGGCAACAATTCGAAACTTTTCGGAGCACGGGAGACGTTGACATCGACATTCTACCCAGTGTATACTGATCAGATAGTATTCCCCAGAACTTTGAAACTCTTCCTTGTAATTCCAGCCTTTTATATTTCTGACAGAAACAATTCTTTTACGTTTTCTTCTGAAAATGCAGATTTATGCCGACATCTGCTATTAAAGATCTTTTGAAGTGGGAGGATGTCAGAACAATGGTCTTAAAATGGCATCCAAACCAGGTTGAGGTTAATAGGTCTAGGGATCTTTACAATTACAATGCTATTAATTACTTCCAAAAAATCATGAAGAGGACAGAAAATCAATCGACATTGGACAGATTCTTCAACCCCCACAAACAGAAAAAACATGACTAATAAAAATGCAAGATGCAAATATTTTTATTATTACATATGAATAAACGTAGTAAGTATATATTTTTTTATTTTTTGAAAGAAAGTATATATTTTTTTATTTTTTGGGTGTCTCCAGAACGAATTAATCAAATTCCCATAGAAACCTATGGTAAATTGATAATCGGTTAACGAACAAACAAAGTCTTGGAACGGATTATGTTCGTTAACCGATCACCCACTGTATTCCTGTCGAAAAACTAACATGAAAGAATTAAAATGTGCAGACAAGTTAATGATTATAAATTATGAAGTAAAATGATTTCACATATTTTCACAAGGGTTTATTAGACTTGCAAGATACACTGTATAAAAGCTGTAAAGAAATTTTATTAACTTGCATTCCAAAAGTCACAATCACTATATTCTTTTCAATTGAATGCAAGACAAATTAAATATGGAAAAACATAAATTTATAGATTTATGATTAAAAATTAAATTTCTTTACATCACCACAAAATAGCAGAAATACTATTTTAATATTAAAAATGAATGTTCATATATTCATGTCCGAAAAATAAGCATAATCATTAACTTGGTCTATATGTCAGGAACTACTGATAAGAATAGCATGAAACTTACATAAAGTATATAATTTGCTTATATGTTAACATAACTGAAAAGCAAAAATTTTAATTATATCAAATCAAAAACAAGTACCAAGCATCATCATAAATCTTTTTACAAAGAAAATGATTAGTATGGCAATTTCCTATTACATGCATACATGTTACACAGTAGTTACCCATGCTGGTTATCATGTTTATAAGTGCTGTTGAGGACAAAATCCATTTTTGAACAAAAGCATTTTGAAACTCCTGGAGGCTGACAGGATGCAACTTGTCTTCCTAGAGCTAGAGCATCCCATACATTCTATGGGATTTAGGTCTGGAGATCTTGCTGGCCATTCCACATGACAATATCTTCACTGTCAAGAAAGTTATTGAAGAGTGCAGCCCTATTCATGAATAATGCCAATGCATAAATTAAATCTGCACCTATAGCATATGTGAGACCTGAAAGGCCCCTGGGTCTGAACAGTAATTTTATTAATAATGTTAATATTTTGTTATAAAATATTACTTCGTTTGAGTGAGAAAAATGACATTTTAGAGTGGGAAAAATAGATAACAGATGTTACTTCCTTTCACAGAAGTTAGAACATCCTCTGTTTTTCCCTTATCTGCGAAACCTCTCGCTTTGATGGGAAATGTTTACCCCTCACATATTCCCCTTTCCATCCGTTCTCACGGAGGAATCTTTGCAAGATGATTGGTTGAAAATCGTGACATATAGAGGAAATTTGTCAGAATTCGTGGAGTTCAGCGACAGATCTGAAAGTGTCCAAACTCCACACAATTTCTTCCTGATGACCAACGCCCTTAGACGAGTCACAGAATAATTCCAGAGTTAGCACTTAGAAGTTATACTTTGATTTTGTGCACATAGTGATCTCCCTTGGAAAGAAGTAAATGAACTTTATTCTCCAAAGTGTCCCTTGCCTACAGAGAAGAAGACAAACGACAACTAGAACAGGTTGTATGTTTTATAACGATTTTGTGAGCTCTCTCTCTCGATCGCAAAGCGGGTATAGTATATCGTGTATCTTAATTGTTGTATTTATATCCCTCGTTCCTTGATATTTGTAATAGTTTTACTTATATAGAATCATTAAACTTACTCTTGTTTGTTTTATATATAAGATATCTCTCTTTATAGATCTGATTCAGACTCAAATTAAGTAGTCGCACGCGTGTTTGTCCGCGGATCGATAAATTGACAAACTGGTGTCAGCCCTGACAAGCATCTGGACTTTACTGTTCAGATCTACTAGCAGTTATCGCTCTCCTATGAGAAATTTTAAGATCAGATCTCTCGATCCGAAACTTTGGAGACAGATTTCGGATAATCTGTGCCGATTAAGTGGTACGAACAATCATTAGAGTATTAGAGTACCCCCGGCTACTCTCACACATATGAAGAAGTCTCACACAGAGTTCCAAAATTTTCTTTCTCTACATTCTTGCAGTAATAATACATTTGTAAAAATGTGGAGCTCATTGCAGCCATTAAATACACTGTAATGCTGATTCAGACAAACATGTCTAGCAAGTAAGACCATGTGCCTGAAGCCATCTGTAAAGTTTGTCATGAAACACTAATACTGTACTTGTACTGGTGGCAATAGATAGCTGTGCAAGGAGCTATCTTCTGTAGCCTGATGTAGTAAGCACAGAATTCTAAGGAGTGAGAATGTCGTAGGGTTTTAGAAGAACTCTACAATTTTCTCACTTCTTAGAAATGAAAAAGACACCATTGAGAGAAAATAGTATCTCGGCCAAAACAACTTGAGAGGTTAGAATTTACAAAGCCTTCG